GCTGGAGGAGTGGCCCTCGGAGGCCGCGTGCCAGGACGCGGCGCTGCAGCAGCGCTGCCAGGACTTCGTCGAGTTCTCCGAGTCCATGACGCTCTTCGGCTGTCCCAGCTGAGTCCCCAAGGTGTCCCCACCCTGGGGTGGCACCAACGCTCCGGTGGCACCTGGGTGTCACCGCTCTTCTCCGGGTGCTTTTTGTCCCCTCCCCGCCTTTTTTGGGTTTTTTCCTCTATTTTTTGGTTAAAAAAGTCATTTCTGAGCACTCCATACAGGGGACATGTGGGGGGGAGTGGGGACACCAGAGAGGACATGGGGACACCAGAGGGGACATGGGGACACCAAGGGCACATCGGGACACCAGAGGGGGCATGGGGACATGGTGGGGGACATGGGGACATCAGAGGGGACATGGGGACGCCAAGAGTACATGGGGACACCAAAGGGGGCATGGAGACATCATAAGGGACATGGGGACAGCAGAGAGGACGTGGCGGGGAGTGGGGACACCAAGGGGACATGGGGACATCATAGGGGGCATGAGGACATCATAAGGGACATGGGGACATGGTGAGGGACAGAGGCACACCAAGAGGACATGGGGACACCATAAGGGACATGGGCACATCACAGGGGACATGTGGGGGGGAGTGGGGACACCAAGGAGACCTGGGGACACCAGAAGGGGCATGGGGACATGATAAGACAGCAGAGAGGACGTGGCGGGGAGTGGGGACACCAAGGGGACCTGGGGACACCACAGGGGGCATGGGGACACCACAGGGGACAGGGGGACATGGTAAGGGTCATGGGGACATGGTGAGGGACATGGGGACAGCAGAGGGGACATGGGGCCATCATAAGGGACAGGGGGACAGCAGAGAGGACGTGGCGGGGAGTGGGGACACCAAGGGGCCCTGGGGACACCAGAGGGGTCATGGGGACATCATAGGGGACACAGGGACTCCGTAGGGGACAGGGGGACACCACAGGGGACATGGGGACATGGTGAGGGACATGAGGGACATGGGGACAGCAGAGGGGACATGGGGCCATCATAAGGGACAGGGGGACAGCAGAGAGGACGTGGCGGGGAGTGGGGACACCAAGGGGCCCTGGGGACACCAGAGGGGTCATGGGGACATCATAAGGGACATGAGGACATCACAAGGGACATGGGGACACCACAGGGGGCATGGGGGACACCATAACAGAAATGGGGACACCATAAGGGACATGGGGACATTACAGGGGACACAGGGACTCTGTAGGGGACAGGGGGACACCACAGGGGACATGGGGACATGGTGAGGGACATGAGGGACATGGGGACACCACAGGGGACATGGGGACACCCAAACCCTGCACCCCACATTTCCCACCCCACACTCGGCACCTGGGACAATTTTGGGGGGGGATCTGGGGCAAATTTTGGGGTTTCTGGGGCAAATCTGGGGGTGATGGGGGAAATTTTGGGGTGACGGGGCAAATTTGGGGCCTCTGGGACAAATTTGGGGGTTCTGGGGCAAATTTAGGGGGTTCTAGTGTTAAATTTTGGGGACTCCAGGACAAATTTTGAGGTCTCTGGGGCAAATTTTGGGGCTCACGGGCAAATTTTGGGGGGTTCTGGGGCAAATGTAGGGGTTTGGAGCAAATCTGGGGGAGTCCAGGACAAATTTTGGGGGATTTCCAGTAAATCTGGGGGGACTCCAGGACAAATTTTGGGGGATTTTCAGCAAATTTGGATTTCCTGGGGCAAATTTTGGGAGGTTCTGGGGAAAATGTTCGGATTTTGGGGGAGTCCAGGACAAATTTTGGGGGATTTTTGGCAAATTTGGATTTCCTGGGGCAAATTTTGGGGCTCACGGGCAAATTTTGGGGGGTTCTGGGGCAAATGTGGGGGTTTGGAGCAAATCTGGGGGAGTCCAGGACAAATTTTGGGGGATTTTTGGCAAATTTGGATTTCCTGGGGCAAATTTTGGGAGGTTCTGGGGAAAATGTTGGGATTTTGGGGTTAAATTTCGGGGGGCTTCAGGACAAATTTTCGGGGGTTTTTGGCAAATTTTGGAGTTTCCAGGGCAAATTTGGGGATTTTGGGGTTAAATTTGGGGGGTTCTGGGGTAAATTTTGGGGGATTTGCAGGTGGGGACCCCCCGAGGTCCCCTCGGTGCCACCCCAGGGTTGTCACCCCAGATTTTTTGGGGACAATCCAGGCGGTGAAAAGAATCCATAAATATTTTTATTCATCCATTAATAAATAATTAATTAAGGACAATAATGAATAAATAATTAATTAAGGGCAATAATTAATTAAGGACAGCAGGGACTCTCCCCCCCAAAGCGTCCCCAGTGTCCCCAAGGAGGTCCCAAGTGTCCAGCACCATGTCCCCAAGTGTCCCCAAGTGTCCAGCACTGGGTCCACGAGGTCCCCGAATGTCCCCAAGCACCAAACTGGGGGGGGGGGTCACCGATGTCACCTGATGTCCCCAAACCTTCAGGTGTGGATGTCACCGATGTCACTTGGTGTCCCCAAACTTCCAGGTGTGGAGGTCACCGATGTCACCTGGTGTCCCCAGTCTTTGGGGACAAGGTTTTGTCACTCAAATCTTCGGCCATGAACGTCACCAATGTCACTTGCTGTCCCCAAACCTCCAGGTGTGGACATCACCGATGTCACTCAGTGTCCCCAAATCTCTAGGTGTGGAGGTCACCAATGTCACCTGGTGTCCCCAAATCTCTGGGTTTGGATGTCACCGATGTTCCTTGTCCCCACATCTCTGGGTGTTGCGGTCTTGTCCCCAAATCTCCAACCAGGGATGTCACCGATGTCCCTTGTCCCCGAATCTCCAGGTTTGGAGGTCACCGATGTCACTTGATGTCCCCAAATCTCTGGGTGTTGTGGTCTTGTCCCCAAACCTCCAGGTTTGGACGTCACTGATGTCCCTTGTCCCCAGACCTCCAGGTTTGGATGTCACCGATGTCCCTTGTCCCCACATCTCTGGGTTTGGACGTCACCGATGTCCCTTGACGTCCCCAAACCTCCACACTCGGGACTCCCCGATGTCCCCAAGCCCCCCCCCGGCAGGTGACCAGGCCGGCCACCCCCTCACCACCCGTGTGTCACCACCGGGTGCCACCGCCCGGTGCCACCACTCGTCACCCCCCCGCGATCCGCAGCAGCCCCACGAAGTTTCCCTCGCGCTCCTCCTGCTCCAGCTGCCACCCGCCCGTGTCCCCAGCGGTGTCCCCAGCGGTGTCCCCAGCGGTGTCCCCAACCAGCTGGAGGCTCAGCGTGTCCCCAGGCCACAGCTGTCCCACGGCCTGGGCCAGCGCTGACCGCTGCCGGTGGCCCCCGGTGGCGGCCGGCAGGGACAGTGGCACGGCCAGCAGCGGCCTTGGGGACCCGGCGCGGCGCAGCTGCAGGGTGACGGCGCCTTGGGGACAGGTGGCCGCGGTGCAGGTGACACCCAGCTGGCCGTAGAGGAGGTAGAGGCCACCGGATGTCACCCGTAGCGTCCTCGAGGTGTCCAGCTGGATGTCACCGCTCAGGAAAACGCCCTGGACGCCGTCCTCGTAGCGCGGTGACAGGGACGGTGACAGCGAGCCTGGGGACAGGGGACAGCGGTCAGCGGGGACAGGGGGACATCAGGGGACAGGGGGGACACAGGGACATCAGGGGACAGTGGGGACATTGGGGACATTGGGGACAGTGGGGACAGTGGGGACATTGGAGACAGGGGACAGTGGTCAGTGGGGACATGGGGACATCAGGGGACAGCGGTCAGCGGGGACATCGGGACACTGGGGACAGTGGGGACATTGGGGACATTGGGGACAGGGGACAGCGGTCAGCGGGAACATGGGGACACACGGACATCAGGGGACAGTGGGGACATGGGGAGAGGGGACAGCAGTCAGTGGGGACGGGGGACATCAGGGGACAGTGGGGACATTGGAGACATGGGACAGCAGTCAGTGGGGACATCAGGGGACATGGGGACAGGGGACAGTGGTCAGCGGGAACATGGGAACATCAGGGGACAGGGGGACAGTGGGGACATCAGGGGACAGGGGACAGCGGGGACATCGGAACACTGGGGACATGGGGACATGGGGACAGGGGACAGCTGTCAGTGGGGACAGGGGGACATCGGGGACAGGGGGACAGTGGGGACATCGGGACACTGGGGACATAGGGACATGGGGACATGGGGACAGGGGACAGAGGTCAGTGGGGACATTGGGATATCAGGGGACAGGGGGACAGTGGGGACATCGGGACACTGGGGACATAGGGACATGGGGACATGGGGACAGGGGACAGCAGTCAGTGGGGACGGTGACAACGAGCCTGGGGACAGGGGACAGCTGTCAGTGGGGACAGGGGGACATCGGGGACAGGGGGACAGTGGGGACATCGGGACACTGGGGTCAGTGGGGACATCAGGACATTGGGGACATGGGGACATGGGGACACAGGACATGGGACAGCGGTCAGTGGGGACAGCGGTCAGTGGGGACGTGGGGACATGGGGTAGCTCAGGGACAGAGGGGACAGCGGGTGACAGGGAGGAGGGAGCCTGGGGACACAGGGGTTGGGGACACCCTGGGGATCACAGGGACAGGGACACTCCGTGACACCCTGGGGACACTCCGTGACATCTTAGGGACATTCCACGACGTCCTGGGGACCACAGGGACACCCTGCGGCACCCTGGGGATCGCGGGGACATTCCGTGACACCTTGGGGACACTGACACCCTGGGGACATTCCATGACACCCTGGGGACAGTGACACCTTGGGGACACTGACACCCTGGGGACATTCCATGACACCCTGGGGACAGTGACACCTTGGGGACACTCCGTGACATCCCAGGGACATTCCATGACACCCTGGGGACCACAGGGACAGGGACACTCCGTGACACCCTGGGGACATTGAAGCCTTGGGGACACTCCGTGACGCCGCCTGTGCCACCCCCGGATGCCGCGGGGGAGGTGACATCGGGGAGGTGACAATGGGGGAGGTGACACTTCCTCTGCGAGGAACCCGAGTGACAATTTCGAGATGACTCTGGTGGGGGGAGGGGAGGGGAGGGGACATCCAGGGACAGGAGGGGACACAGGGGACATCAGGGGACACAGGGGACATCAGGAACTGGAGGGGACACAGGGACAGGAGGGGACATCAAGGGACAGGAGGGGACACAGTGGACACAAGGGTCACAGGGGACAGGAGGGGACATCAGGGGACATTCAGGACTTACTGGCACTGAGCAGGATGTGGGCAGCGGTGGCAGCCTGAGGGGACAGGAGGGGACAACGTCAGCAGGAGGGTCCCCAACGTCCCCAAGGTCCCCACGGTCCCCAAGGTGTCCCCAAGGTGTCCCCAATGTCCCCAAGGTGTCCCCAAGGTGTCCCCAAGGTCCCCAAGGTGTCCTCAAGGTCCCCAAGATGTCCCCAAGGTCCCCACGGTCCCCAAGGTGTCCCCAAGGTGTCCCCAAGGTCCCCAATGTCCCCAAGGTGTCTCCAATGTCCCGAAGGTCTCCAATGCCCCCAATGTCCTCAAGTTTGTCCCCAAGGTGTCCCCAATGCCCCCCATGTCCCTAAGGCGTCCCCAATGTCCCCAAAGTGTTCCTGAGGTGTCCCCAAGGTGTCCCCAGTGTCCCCGAGGCGGACAGATGGACAGCTGGACGGACACGTGGACACACAGGATGGACACAGGGACACGTGGACGGACAGATGGACACAGGGACGGACAGATGGACACCTGGACAGACAGATGGACACACAGGATGGACACAGGGATGGACAGATGGACACCTGGACGGACACAGGGATGGACATAGGGACACCTGGATGGACAGATGGACACAGGGACGGACAGATGGACACACAGGATGGACACAGGGACACCTGGATGGACAGATGGACACAGGGACGGACAGATGGACACCTGGACAGACAGATGGACACATGGATGATGGACACTTGGATGGACACAGGGACACACGGGATGGGCACATGGATGGACACACGGACACATGGATGGACGGATGGACAACTGGACACCAGGACAGACGGATGGACACCGGGACAGACGGACAACTGGGCAGATGGACAACCGGACACCTGGGCAATCAAACACCAGGACAGACGGACACCAGGACAGACGGACACCAGGACAAATGGACACCAGGACAAGCATCTGGACCACTGCACAACTGGACACCTGGACAACTGGATAACCAGACACCAGGACAGACACAGGGACAAACGGACACCAGGACAAACACCCAGACAACCAGAAGACCGGACATCAGGACACCAGGACAAATGGACTCCAGGACAGACAGACACCTGGACAAACGGACATCAGGACACCAGGAAAATTGCACACCTGGACAGACGGACAACTGGACAAACGGACATCAGGATACCAGGACAAATGCACACCAGGACAACTGGACACCAGGACAAACGGACACCAGGACAAACACCTGGACAACCGGACACCAGGACAGACGGAGACCGAGACAAACGGACACCTGGACAAACGGACAACTGGACAGACGGACACCAGAACAGACACCTGGACAAATGCACACCAGGACAAACGGACAACTGGACAAATGGACACCAGGACAACTGGACACCAGGACAAACACCCGGACGCCGGGACACCTGGACAGACGGACACCGGGACAGCCGGCCCCCAGGACACCCAGACCCTGGGACAAGCGGGCACCGCGCGCTCAGGACAGACGGACGGACGGACAGACCGACAGCCCCCCCCACCCCCCCCCGTGCCCACCTTACATCGGGGAGGGGACACGGTGACATCAGGGAATGCACCGGGGACACGCTGACATCGGGGAGGGGACACGGTGACACCGAGGGGGGACTGGAATATCGGGGAGGGGACAGCGAGGAGGGGACACGGTGACATCGGGGAGGGGACACGGTGACATCAGGGAATGCACCGGGGACACGCTGACATCGGGGAGGGGACACGGTGACACCGAGGGGGGACTGGAATATCGGGGAGGGGACAGCGAGGAGGGGACACGGTGACATCGGGGAGGGGACACGGTGACATCAGGGAATGCACCGGGGACACGCTGACATCGGGGAGGGGACACGGTGACACCGAGGGGGGACTGGAATATCGGGGAGGGGACAGCGAGGAGGGGACACGGTGACATCGGGGAGGGGACACGGTGACATCAGGGAATGCACCGGGGACACGCTGACATCGGGGAGGGGACACGGTGACACCGAGGGGGGACTGGAATATCGGGGAGGGGACAGCGAGGAGGGGACACGGTGACATCGGGGAGGGGACACGGTGACATCAGGGAATGCACCGGGGACACGCTGACATCGGGGAGGGGACACGGTGACACCGAGGGGGGACTGGAATATCGGGGAGGGGACAGCGAGGAGGGGACACGGTGACATCGGGGAGGGGACACGGTGACATCAGGGAATGCACCGGGGACACGCTGACATCGGGGAGGGGACACGGTGACACCGAGGGGGGACTGGAATATCGGGGAGGGGACAGCGAGGAGGGGACACGGTGACATCGGGGAGGGGACACGGTGACATCAGGGAATGCACCGGGGACACGCTGACATCGGGGAGGGGACACGGTGACACCGAGGGGGGACTGGAATATCGGGGAGGGGACAGCGAGGAGGGGACACGGTGACATCGGGGAGGGGACACGGTGACATCAGGGAATGCACCGGGGACACGCTGACATCGGGGAGGGGACACGGTGACACCGAGGGGGGACTGGAATATCGGGGAGGGGACAGCGAGGAGGGGACACGGTGACATCGGGGAGGGGACACGGTGACATCAGGGAATGCACCGGGGACACGCTGACATCGGGGAGGGGACACGGTGACACCGAGGGGGGACTGGAATATCGGGGAGGGGACAGCGAGGAGGGGACACGGTGACATCGGGGAGGGGACACGGTGACATCAGGGAATGCACCGGGGACAGCGGGGAGGGGGCGGCGACATCGGGGAAGGGACCGGGGAGGGGACACGGTGACATCAGGGAGCGGGACATGGGGAGGGACATCGGGGAATGGAGCGGGGACAGCGGGGAGGGGACCTGGTGACATCGGGGAAGGGACTGGTGACACCAGGGAGGGAACGGGGGACATTAGGGAGGGGACAGTGACATCGAGGGGGACAACGAGAAGGGGTTGGGGACAACGAGAAGGGGTTGGGGACACCGGGGAG